CTGATTTATCACATGCTCGGTGGTGAAGGAAAACATCGTGAAGAAACCTGCTTCTTTGACAAATAAGGAAAAAATATTTCAGACACGTGTAGTCAGCCAATGCGCATTGGGGCAGCGCGGCGGACATTTTCTTGCTCTAAATTAATGTTGCTCTAAATTGCTCGCGGAAATAACTAAATATGCATAATATAAAGTATACATATTTAAGTACATAACTACATACATACATAGGCTATACATTGCAACCACGTCGTAAAGTTCTATGGGTTTCAATAAAGAATGAGAGATAAAGAAATCTGTGAACATTGCACAAGCGAAATTACTATACTGTTGTCCAGTGCCGAATTAAGCAGACGCGTTGCCCGTAGCAAATTATATCGAGGGACCCTTGATCTGCTATAGATTTTTATATATAAAGTGGTAAAAAACATTTCAATACTCAATAAGTTCATTTGCGATCTAAAAATTTGTTGGTGTTTAATAGTACAGTAGTTTACTATAGACCTTGTTAGACTCGGGCCAGTACAAAGGCAAGCCATACGTGAGATTGTCCTGGTAATTTAGAATGATTTTGATAAGAAACTAACAATTTAAAACTGACGATAATAACAAATAACTGTTTTTAGTACATATGTCAAAGTATACTTTTAATAAGGTATATTAACGGAGTCTTTAAATTATGCATATATTTTGTATTTATTTATCTATTTCTTACATTACTTTTTAAAGTAACTTTTGATGGATTTCATGTGGGCAAATTTATAAATAATACGATCCGTATCTATTTCTGTAGCAATAATTCAGGATAATTCAGGCGTTCTTGACCATAGTGTTCCCTAAATGAATTTTTATACGGTTCAATGTCGAAAATGAGGTTTAAAACTGCAGTTAATAGTCATGAGACAATAAATGCTTGTCAAACTATCACACAATCCACCCGATGGTAAGTAGATTCTGTGACCCATATATATCCACATTTATCCTCGATTAAGAATCAAAATGCAAATGCGTTGTCACCCGTGAGGACTAAGTGAAATACATCGTTTCCAGTAAGAGGGGTCACCGGTTCACAACATTTACCATACGAAACACAGCAGCATGGAGCTGCTATTTCACGTTGGTATTATGTGAGAGCGTGGTCCTACCCCGGTCGAACCGAACCGTTCGTGCTACAACTATACCAGTAATATAGCTGACCTTGTGCATAATTTCTGGGGAAGCCCATAAGAGGGAAACTTTGAAAGAGGTGCTTTGAGCCACACCCAATCGAAGGACTTTGCTATGTCAAAACTAACCACCTTGGCTCCCTTGTCTCGACTGCCTACACCCATCAGTTATCGGTGAGACAAAAATATCATCAACTGAGCGACCTCTACGGAAACTGTATTAACAGTCACTAATCAGCTGATGCTCTTAAAGGTACCACATGAGCTTACAATTATTAATGGATTCCATTACTTTGGAGAACAAGGAGGTGATAGCGAGAACACTGTAGTTGGACGGGTCCAAGCGTTCACCTTTTTTGGGCATAATGTGCACTAAGTTTGTGTTCCATGAGCCTGAAACGCCTATAGATTTAGAGAACCGGAAAAGACGCATTAGAACCAATGCCAACTCTGGAGCACACGTCTTCACCACAATTTGGGGGATTCTATTAGGCCCACTCGACTTGTGGACATCCAGGGACAAAAGTGCTTTGTGCACCGAGCACTGTGTAAACAGCACATCCGGCATGGAGTGCGGGATAGTGGGGGGTATAATCCCCCGCCGTCTAGAGTCAAGTTAGACGCAAAAAGAGGTCTTAAAAGATTGGCTTTCTCATTTGCGTCATGGGCAAGTCATCCTTCTTTTGCAGACAGTAATGACGATTTACACAAATTCCCTTGGGCAGCCTTGCCGAGGGATAGAAACGCACGAGTTCTCGAAGGAAGGCTAACTAGTTTCTCCCCAATTGCTCTTTGTGCGACGAGCTCTTGTGAAGGACCTGGAGGCAGAGTTGTACTTCTTTTTGGGTGCGCTAGTGGGGGATGAATGGGCCGCTACCAGTAAGCCAAGGCCATATAAGACTCCTGCTTTTGCTGCGACGCAATTTTGCAGGAGCGTCCAAACTAATACTGGGATCTGCCGCCTGTAGACACAATGGATGACGGGATCAACAGGGCTCCCTGAAGTAATATGTATATCGGCGACAGACTCAGCAACTAATTTTTTTTAGAGTCAATCCACCCTCATGGGTAGGATGCAAAGAAGAACGCCCTCATACCATCCTAATCCGCTGAATTATAGTTTCATACATAGTGGCAGCATTCAGATCGCGCCTGCAATGAGCAATTGATGGACAGTGTACTCCGATTCAGTAAATGATTCGAACAGCCAAAAGGGGTATCGACGGAGATCTGATATCTGTCTGGATAAGAGGTCAGCAGAGGGTCCAACAGGGAAGGCGTATGATCCTCCACACTTGGAATATATATATATATATATATATATATATATATATTCCAATAATATATATATGTATATGTATATATATATATGTATATATATATATATATATATATATATATATATATATATATATATATATATATATCGTCATAGTCGTAGAATAGTGACGGATCTGACAATTATTAAACTTTACAGGGCAGCCATTTCAAATAATTATGTTAGATTTTTTGACATAACTTTTTTAATTCTAAATCTGTAATTATGAAAATTGGCATATCGGTTTAAAATGGGGTTTATTTTAAACTGGAATAAAAACATTAACTTTTAATTATACAGTTTTCCTGAAAAATCACGTGCTTCATTTTACTTTGGAGTCAAGACAGTCACATAGTATTATCCGACATTTTTCTTCGGAAAGTTACTGTTCAAAGAATGACGGATGTTACTTTCCAGTCATGTTCTACTGACTTAGCGAATAATATTTTGGCGGATGTGTTATCTGTTATATTCTAGTTTGACCATGAGTAAGAAGGTAGGCAGGTGTTCGATAAGTAAATAGTACAGTAGGTAAGTAGGTTGGGGTAGGTAGGGTATCTTATAAATAAAACAGACTATTTGGTCTAGTCTTTATACTGAATTTGTATTAAGAAATTATAAACAACATTATTTTGTACTACATAGATTAAGAAGACTATAATGTTGAAGCTATTTGGACCTGAATTCTTCCTTTTTGGTAAATTACTAATCTAAAACTTAAACACTAACCATTTGTTAGCCAAGTTATATTATCACAATCATTTTTATAAGTAGATAGTGTAGTAAAAACGTTAATTAAATGAATAAATCCTTAAAAATCACAACTTCAGAGATCAAAACAGTAAAAATTAAGTAACTAGGATTATTAAACACAATTCTTTAGCACAATTATTCAATCAGATTCATTGTTATTATCAGAAACATTACGCCCATGAGGTAAACTTCTGAAATAGTTATGATATTTGGTAGGTATTATTGAAGAATCGCAAAGGCTAATAAGATCCTTATATTTATCATTACTGATTGGAATTGGCCCCACGTAAGCTTTATGTAAGATTGGATTATTGTATTGTCTAGTCTCCTTTCGAAGTACCAGGGTCATGTAGTCATCAGATAAAGCATATTTGTACCGAATTTTACTGCTCTGAGTTCCATCGACACAAACTTCTTTTATGCTTGTCCAAGTAACTTTGTTGTTAACTGTATTTTTTACCCAGTTTTTATTTTTTAGCTGATCTTTAAAGTCAAACACTAAAGACTGATTTACGTCTATGACCTCATAAGAGTCACCTGTTACTTTAGCCCAACGTACATGTAATTTCCATTCATCTGGTGTATAAATTGTTTTATGCTCAGCAGCCCTTTCTATCACACTGTGGACAGAATCCCCCCTCGTTTTGGGTGTGGCCTTTTTCAAAGAATCTATGTGTTATAGTTATATCATATTCTTTAGCTACATGAGCATACATAATAAACACTATGCGATTTCGATTCTGGCCAGCGCAATTGTCTGACCAGAATCGAAACTCTTTCACGCCTTTTGATACAAACTTCTTTATGAAGTCATAAACGCAACTGGCTACTTCGTTGGCCCCACGTTTGGCAACACTTTCATCCCACATATAGCAATAACCTTGTTTGCCGATCATATCGTATATGGTGAAATTATAACATGACAGCTTTCGCTTGTAATACAATACACTCATTTGCCCGTGAGGACATGACAAAACCTTCTGAAAATCAAAGGTAGCACAAACTATGCGTCCATTAGAATTAACAGCGTCATTTTTATCATTCTGTTTCAAGATCCTAGACACTTTTTTGCTATTTAAATGCTTTGCATACTGTTCTTTAAGTTCATCAGGCGGATTTTGTGTTAGTTTAAAACTATGGCACTGATCACAAGTATCCTTTTTGGGTAGATGAAAACTCAAATTAAAATGACTGTTAACTATGTCTCTGTACTGTCTAAGACTGGAAGCTGTATTTGAATAATAGTTAAGTTCAGGCCAATCTTTGTATAAATTGAACATCCTAGCGATGCTCAAGTCACCATCTAAATACAGTCGTTTGGACGCTGCTCTGTTATAATGAGATTCTACAGGTACAAATGAATTAACGTGGGCACAAACCGACTTTACCATTTCATTGTCAACAACCCGATTATGATTTTTATGTTTCCCCCCTCATGTCTTTTTCTATTAAAGTGCTTCCGTCATATTTATTCCAAGCTGTCCGAACTAACCTTTCGCTAATCGAATACGTACTTAAAAACATGGTTTTACAAACCTCTATTTTTGATGAGCCCTTTGGCAAAAAATAATTGTAAGTAAATTGACGGTTATGCTTTAAATCTCTTTGAAGGCCCCTTTTCTTCTTCTGTTTTGTAGTATAATTCGCAACATGCAACCATTGTTTCTCACGATCACCTAACTTCCAAAACTTTTCAAATGCATCCTGTCTTTCTTCGAGAGTCAACATAGTGTAACATTTATATCTACACGTGCAAGGCCTACCTACGTTTTTGCTTGAACAATAACGCCCTTTTTGGAGATGTATTCTTTTCCTGCATTTGCTAAGCGTTTTCTTTTAATTTCTTCCCAATTGTCATAATTTCGGACACGTTTTTTACCTCTACATTGAATAAGAGGCGCTGGAGACAACTGGTATGAAGACACAGCTGTGCTTGTTTGATTGACAGTTGCTATGTCTGCACCATCGTGAGTGGAACAAAAAAAGTCATTACATACCTCACCATGAGTTTTTACTGGTGATGGCATAGGTGTTTGTCCATTGTTGTCAACAGTCGAGGTAATCGGTTGCGGGAAAGGTGACAGGTCTGATATCAGGGTAGAAGTATTTAAAGGGGTTAGAGCTGAGGTGATATTTAAGAGGGACACGACACCATGCTGATTTTCTGACGCGAGTAAATATGGTGAGGATGCATTTTCATACACGGCCATAAAAGGATCTTCTTCAAGAACACAAGTAGATGATGGTATGTTCGGGTCCATATTTTCATTTGTTGATTTTATGATTTCGCTTGTTCCGTGTACGTCATCTGAAAAGACATCTTCACAAATGTCGTTCATCTCTTCTATTACGTTGCGTGCTCCTGGAGGTAATGGCGAATGGCATTCTGAAAAGATATCAGTATATGTAAAAATAAATAGATTATTAATATCACAGGTTAACATTTACTAAAAACGGTAAGACTATTCATAATAAAAAGATTAGAAAGTATAAAAAAGTACTTCTTTTTATTTATACAGGTAAATTTTTACTCAAATCCGATTATTTTTTAAAGAAAAATATATTAAATATATACAAATAATCATAGTTTTTCAATAGAAAAATGGCGGAAGTGAATTTAGTTCAAAGAAAAAAGTGGGATGATCAGATACGACCGTTAGACAAAAAAGCGTGTCCACAAAATACCGGCGTTTGTAACCACGCGTCACTATCATGTCCATAGAAAAATGTAATATAGTTACATACAACTTGAAAATTTAAATTCTCAAATATAACAAAAACTCAACATAGTACTTGTAGTAATATCAGCGAGCAAATATTATTTTTATAAAAATTACATTTTATATTGATTTATATTTTCCGTAGAAAACCGACGGATACTCAGAACCGACGCTTTACTTATTTACTTTGCAAAATATGTGTAAATACAAGAATTAAGTAATACTATAATATTAATACATAATTCATTAACTTACCTGGAGTCCCTGGTATGCAGTCCTCCTCATCCATGCGCTCTTCATGAGTAAAACCCGTACTTTTCGAATTTTTGCTTGTTTCTTCCACAAGTTTTAACATAAGCTTTGATCGTCCTGTTTTCATTGTGGTACACTTTTAATATAATATGTAAAAAAACTAGGCACGCAATAGCTAACAAACAGGCAAATAAAGTAAAACTAGTGCAATTGTTTAAGAAAAATCTAATCCGCTGCAACGCGTGAGCGAGTTCGACGAAAAGTGACGATTGCGCGGATTCGTCGGGAGTGGGAGAGGATGGCGGGAGATCCCCGCGCGTCGAATAATGACGAGTATATACAAACGTCATTTTACTATGAGTGCCTATCAAATCCGTCTATTTACCGACTGATTATTTTGAAATCCGAAATACATATAATTTTTTCTTTAATGTAGTAATAATATTTAGGCAATATAGTATCCAAATATGGTAAAAAGTGAATTTCGTGTTTTTTTTAGAACCGTCATTATTCTACGATCATGACGATATATATATATATATATATATATATGCAATAAACTATGCCACACACACAAACATCTATCCAAGGTTAATACATTTCAATCTTGAACATTGAGAAATAACTGGTGAAGTGTAAACTGTTTTTGATGAACGTACGTGTTGTTTATACGATCTATCAAAACGATCAAGTACAGCTATTAAAATATTGATTTATATCCGAATGTGTATATGGTCAGCCTTTATTTTAAATTAATATCGTTTATAATATAGGTATTCATTTTAAAAAAAATATTGGAAGAACAAAATAAAAAAAAAAACTACATAAGCTCCTATGTAAATACTTACGTTTTAGTGTTTTATTTACATAATACTATTTATAAAACACGATTGTTAATTAATAAATTTAATCAAAATTAATTTGCATCCAGGAAAAGGTTGTTAAATAAATAAAATATATTTTTATTTAAAATTAACGTTACAGTCTATGTACGTTCTACTGCTGGGCACAGGCTTCCTCGTGTTGGCAAACTTCACATGTCTTCGGAATATATTATTTTCTTATTTCTCAGACAAGCAGGTTTCCTCACAATGTTTTCCTTCTCCGCCAAGCATGTGATAAATCAGCACTTAAAATTGCAAACCGTATTTTATCGCGTTTAACTACTACTGGCGTGAACCACTCGTAGCTCAAGCAATTTAAGCTTACCACGAGTGGTTAAGGGGAATATTAGTAATGTTTATAGCATTGTTAATATTCTTTTTTTTTAAAGCAAAAAAAAGACAGATATTTGACGTCCCAATGTCATAGTTCCCGTCTTCCTTCAAGTTTTTGAAAACGATCTAAGCTGAATGATTTTACAGCATCTTGAAGTCTTGCAGGGGCATACTTAAGTTTGGATTTATTTTGTTAATTATAGGATATCAAGCAGATGGCGGCACCCATCCATCTTCTCTAATGAAATTAGGAGTTTTTTTTTTAATTTCAATAGCCTCGCGTATTATCCATGGTAAGAATTCGTATTCATTTGCGAGGATTTGTGGTCTACCAAATTAGATGTAATGGTGGGGATGATCTTGAACATGTTCACGGACTGCAAAATTCTCTGAGCCTTGGTGCTTCACGTCAGGTATAAGTTCTTTCACGCGGGTTTTTATAGATCTTTTTGTTTGTCCTATGTAAGAGAGATCACATTCATAATCTAGCTTGTTTACTAATCTCCTTCGGCGGCTTGTAGTATGTTTTAATAAAAGCTTGCTTCAAGATGTAGCCAACCTTGTCTGTGACTCCTCTGACATATGGTAGTACAGCAGGCACATGGTCGACTGTGGCCGGCTTCACTCGGTCACTGTGACGTAGGAGCGGGACCCGAAGCTTGTTGTCTTGTAAAACTCGCTTGATGTACCGAAGCGCGGCGATAAGATGTTTTCTGTCACTGATCCCATATGCTCTCTGTAACAAAGATATTCACACGGTAGCTAACTGTGATAGATGAAGGTGAGATTTAACATTTAAATATCGGTCGGTTTGGGTCTTTTTCATATGCACAGTGTGACCAATATTGGTATTAGGATTTCGGATGACTAAAACATCTAGGAACACTTAAGAATTATCACATACGCGAACAATAAACAACGCAAGGTCTATAATCTATCAAAACATATACTGGACAAACCGACAGTAAAAGTACTATCGAAAGGCATGAATTTCGCATTGATACTGCGAAGAATTCCGTACGAAGAAATAATCAGCAGTGTTTAGGATTGTCTGTTTAATAATAATATCAGTAAAGAGGATTTAGAGGCCATACGTCAAGATATTTCGTATTTGGTACATCGTATTTTAGTGTCGAAATCAAACGTTCCTAAAAAGGAATTTAAAGCGTAGAATAACTTACGGAATAAACCAAAACTAAGGATTATCTGCGCAAATAAAGGAAATGTTACGTTAATAATAGACATGTCAGAGTGTAATTTTAAAATACAATAACTTTTAATCGGACGTAAGTACATACAAATAGGTCAAAGCATACCGTAGAACCAATTTATTCTGTACTACAACTAATAGGCTTAAACAAACTAGCGATTTAATGAAGAAATACTGAAAAAAAATGAAATCTCGATGTTAATTCGATAATACCATCATGTGTCAAACCATCGAGATTGTATGGGTTACCGAACATACACAAACCAAACGCCACTACTTCCCATTGTGAGCCAGGTTGACTTACCGACCTATAAGTTGGCTCAACGCTTGGCAAAAATACTATCACCGCTGAGAGGAAATGCCAGAGTAGAAACAGAGGATACGTACCATTTTGTTTGTGAGATAAAAGACCTACATCTCGCTAGCAATGGAACTATGGAACGTTTTGATATTAAGTCACTATTTACATGCCTACCTATTAAAGACTGTATCTCAATTGTAACTAGGAAGCTGAAAGAGAACAACATGCTTAAAGAATATGAAATACCTACTCAAACACTGCCTCACATCTGGTTACTATTGTGGGGAGGAGGGTTCTACAAGCAAGTAGACAGTGTGGCGATGGGCTCACCTATATTTTTTCCGCCATATTTATGGAGGACTTTGAGGAGAAAGACCTTCTTAATACTCCATTAAGTCCAAGATTATACAAGCGGTACGTAGACGACACTTTCACAATTTTACCACCCGATGAATTAACTGCTTTTTAGACCGCCATAACTCCATAAACTCTTAAATATAATTTACAATGGTAATACCAGTCATTAACTGTAATATCTCTCTACAAGATGCTGGAGCGTACAAGCTAGATTGTGAATGTGGTCTCTCTTACATAGGATAAACAAAAAGATCTATAAAAACCCGCGTGAAAGAACATATAGCTGACGTAAAGCACTGACGCTCCGGGAAGTTTGCAGTCTGTGAACATGTTCAAAATCGTCTCCACCATTACATCAGATTTGATAGACCACAAATCTTAGCAAAACGCGAGACTATTGAAATTTAAAAAGAAACATCTTAATTTCAATATAGGAGATGGATGGGTACCGCCATCTGCTTGGGGTCTTATAATTAATAAAATTAAATCCGAAACCAATACCACTGCAAGACTTCAAGATACTGTAAGCTTATTCTGCGTAGATCGGATCAAAAATTAATAGTAGCCTGGGTAACTATGGGACGTCAAACATTGGGTCGTGAAACATCTCAGTCATCCACGAAACGTCGGGAATTAAAAATAAGTTTATTAAAGGCGATTTTATTCAATGTGTAGTGTTCGCGTAAATATAAGAAATCATTATGCAATTAAAAATTTCATTGGTGCCGGCGGTGATCGAACCTGCGTTGCTCGCGTATTGTTAACTTTATAATATCCTTTTATTTATTTGTTATTTTTATTGAAATAAAATCTACAGCTTGTAAATTTACCAATACATATAAGTAAGTTTCGCATATGTTTTGTGAAATTTTGCCATTTACAGGTTTAAATATTTTTTTCTTAGGCAATGTTAACACATATTTTACACTGTAATATCCCTTATACCGTACCGTATAACGTATATTGAGTATTAGTGAGATGAAAGTGGAAGCAAGTACGTACGTGCGTGTAAGCGTGTGTGCGAGCGTGTATGAGAGTAAGCGTGCACGTGTGCGTTCAACCCCATTTTTTTGCTTTCTCTGTCGCCTCTTACGACACGACATTCGCAGGCTAGTAAATACATATTCTTGCACGGCCCTGCTTGATAATTACACATACTTCATTTAATAAGACATAATTGTGAAATGGATTATAAAGTATAGTAATGTTCTCCAGATCAAGTTTAGGTCACGGCAGTCAGTCTCTACCTATACTTGGCATGTGCGCAGGAGAGATTATAGTGCCCAAGTGTACGATTAACTACAAGTACACTCTATCACTCGTTCGTGTCGGATAGTCGTTAGAGCAGAAAGATCAGACGCGGGATCAACAGTATTACGTCCTTTCTGAGACACAGAGGTGAATCACCGTGGAATTCCCGACTCCGGGCTGCTAATGAGGATTACTTGAGAGAAAAAATCCAATGACTGATCTTGTGATTCGAAATCAGGACCACGTCACCAGTCTCGTTTACTATCAACGGGGCATATACTTTAAAGTTTCAATTTACTTAAATCAGTAATTTTGTCATATTTCAGTTGTATTTCTTCACTGTGGAATTCGGGCTATGTCGTCAACCAGACGGTAGTTTTCGTGTTTACGGTGCTGGCTTGCTATCATCTGTGGCTGAATTGCAACATGCTCTTGCAAGTCCTGAAAAAATTAAGCGTTTTGACCCCGATGTTACTGTAAATGAGGAGTGTATAATCACATCATACCAGAATGCCTATTATTATACCGATTCATTTGAGGAAGCTAAGGAGAAAATGAGGTAAATGAGGTGCTTCTAATAAGATGCGATAATTTTTTTTCTTTTCTTTTCTTTTCTTTTAAAAAACGTTACCCCTACACTAAGATTTTCTCCTGTATCGTGGGGGCAGTTAACAAACATAAATTGCACAAGGACAAACATCCAGACTCGAAACAATTATTTGTAGGCCATACAAATACTTTTCCGTGCGGGATTCGAACCCAAGACCCCCAGCGCAGCTACTCATTGCCAAGCTACTGCGCCACGGACATACATAAGTAAGAAATTTTTAATATATGTACTAATGAGGCGTGTGCCGCGTTAAATTAATCATGTATCGAATATTCTTAAATCTCATCAATCTCAAATTAAAATAAAAACCTAAAGTAATTACTGATTTCAATTTTTAACATTCAATAATCATGTGGTGTTTTTTATATGTATTTAGTTATTCATTTTGTTATAACTTTGTTTATTAATTATGCCACAGAGATTATATATAAAAGAAATGGTGTGTCATTCGGCGTCTATTGTAAGTACTTTCTAATGAAACATTTTTTTATTTAAATTATTCACTTCGTTTTAAAATTCATTGTGCAATTCAGAGTCGAATGAAATTGGTCTGGAGATGTCATGATTGCATCTCTAGATAACCTAGTTTACGTGAGTACAATCTTATGTTGGTAAATGTGCATTGGCACACATATTGGTGATATCGGACTCTGTGGACCTTAAAACGTGGAGCTATGTAGAAACTTTACAAACAATATTACAATATATGTTTCATATACATATAATAATCTAATATATATAAAAATTTATATTTGTGTGTTCCTGTTTTATACGCTAACATACCGTTTATTAGATTTCGGTAGAACTGTGTTAACTCTGCTTACACTTCCGCCAAGGTTATAGGCATAGTTAGACCCGGTAGGTGGCGGTGTTGCAGAATCCAGATATCGACAGATCAGATATAAAATAATACATATTGTTATAATTTATTCTTAGACTACAACTAATTACATTCAAATAATCAAATCAATTATTTTCAGAGCCTTTGCTGATAGCATACAGCGTCCTTTTGGAGTTCGTTACAATCCTTACACTCAAAGCGTTGAAATTCTTAGCAACGCTCAGAAAATAACGGCGTTGGTGCGCGAGTTACGTGGGGATATTTGCATCGTTTCCTCAGCCATCAAGAAGATTTCTGCACAAGATTCCACACTTGATGTAGAAACGATTGCAAATATGCTGCATACGGGACTGCAGGTATACTTTGACCACTTTCTTGACTTGACCACAGATACTAGTGTAGACTGAATGTATAAAATTTACAAAATGTTCTGTTTTTTTTTTGATAGAACTTCGGTAGCATTAATTTTATTATATTATTTTCATTTTATGGTTTTATTAATCATTGTCATCATTGCAGGCTATCAAGTTTCATTGCTAAACATAGATTGACCTTATAGATTGATTTGTAGGGGGGATATTAACCACAGTTATTACGGGACTATGTACATACAATTACTTTCATTCAATGAGTAGTTGTGATTCCAACTGAAAGTAATGAAAAAAAAAACATTATTGGCATAGCACTGAAAACTATGTTTCTATAATGAAGAAATAACAAATTTTTAAATCACTCCTTATAGTAGTTTTCGTAAATTTTCTTGCATTGACAATTATTTTTTAATTTATGCGATAAGTGCAGTAGTTTATTGTTGATCGATACTTAACCTTTTTAACGTTTAATTCGACCAAGTTAGAAGAATAAAAATTTTACTGTAAAATTTATGTTGAATTTCATATTCTTTGAAGGACAAAGGATACATTACTTATATTATCGGGAGAATTTTTTATCGGCAAACATCTCAAGTAGCGTTGTGAAATTTTCTACCGCACCGTAGCGTGCTGAAACTGATTTACGCTACCTAAATGCTCTTTAAACTTATTTTTAACGAATGTTTCAAGGACTTATAATAATTAAACACCCCAGGTCTTATAACTTATTTTATCGTAGTCGATTTACACACACTTAAAATTTAATAAGAAGCATACGGAACAATATCTTGGGAAATAATATAGCTTATTGGTTCTAATTTCCAGTATGCAGTATATTTTGTATAATATACAAAATGTACTGCATACCCTGCTCCTGGTTAAAGCTAGGATCACATTCAGACAGCCATATTATTATAGTGTTATTTGTATTGTGATAAAGTTTCCATACAAGTCCGGATGATAAGCGTTTAATATGCTCAAAAAGTACATTCAGAGCCAATATTAAAATTCTTCTCTTTAGCAGACAAGTAGGAACTTTTACATCGAAGGTTAACTTTCAATTGTTTTACTTAAACAAACGGCAGAAATTGTAGCAAAACGCATGATTAATTTTAGCTAGTGTTCCTTTATGGAGAGTTGTGATGTAATCGTGGTCATCTATTAATAAATTTATCGACAGTGACTAACAACGTGTGCGCGAATTTAGCGATTGGAAACTTCGATCGCGCACGTAAAGCGTGTAAAATGTTAAATATCCGCTTACAATAAATTTGTAACAGAAATAACGACGGAAACTGCGGCAGTTTCCTTTGATATAAAATGATATACGAGTAAACTGAATAATATCGTGTAGAAAATAACTGGAAGTTTTGTTCTCCGTATGTTCTAATTAATTTCCAATTTACCATAAATCATTTATTATGTTAAATGACATTAAATTTGCTTAGGCAATATGTAGTTAGTGCCGTTCACGCGGGCTAATTCGCGGGCAAACGATAGTATTTAAGACATCTTTTAATTAATTAAATATTTTCATACTTTATATTTAAATCAGTGCAGAGAATTTGTAAATAACTGGCTGTGACCAGCGGTTTCAACTACGTGTATCATACGTCTGAGCGCTCGCGACATGCGACCTCGCTTACGGCGGCTCTACACGTTGGCCAACACAGTGGCGAATGTAGTGGCGAATATATTGGCCGAGAGTTGGTGACGACGTCCACACGTTGGAAGGTCGTTCAGTTTACTTCGGTTCGGGCCAATGTACGGACGAATTTATTTTATTTTAGACGACGGCTCCGTGGCGCAGTGGCTTAGCAATGAGTGGCTGTGCCGGGGACCGCAGGTTTGAATCCCACACGGAACAAGTATTTGTATATCCTACAAATAACTGTTTCGGGTCTGGATGTGTGTCCTTGTGCAATTTATGTTTGTAAGCTGCCTCCGCGATACAGGAGAAAATCCAAGTGTGGGGGTAACGTTTTTATAAAATAATTATAAAAGAATAGTGGATATTAATGGGGGTGTAAATAGATATACGATATACGATTAGCTTTATTTATTCTTTACATGTATCATAAACTGGAATAAATACCCTTAATGACAAATTAACTTATTTTAAAGTTAAAGTACTTATAATCGATTAGTCTATGTTTTAAAAATGGGTTTTGGTTTTAAAGTTTAGCAAAACATGTACTTGCTTTTCTATCAGGCATTTGATGTATATAAAAAACACCTAATAATTTATTTGGTAATTTAATTATTTTTTGAGAAAGACAAAAACAATAGCAATAAATATAATTAACACTGA